GTCCGTGGAACTTTCTTCCAACTACTTACTTTTTTATAAACTACGATCTTCAAAAATTTAAATGCAACGTCAATCATCATTCCTGTCTCTTTGAATCCTGTTCTTTTTTTATTGTCCCTTCTCCTCAGCAACGTTTTCTCAGTTTCCTTGACTCGTGGTAACGCCTTTCGTCTTAATGGCTTTATTACCTTGTTTAGAGTAAAATGATTAAAATAATAATAATAATAACAATAATAATAATAGACATTGAAATATATATAAATAGTAATTTTAATTCCTGTAGATATGAAACTATAAAAGCTTCTACGAAAGGTAGTGATGGAAAGCTAGAGGAATGGACTAAATATAAGTTACAAGAAGACAAAATGCGTAGTTGTCAGCAAAAGGAACAGCCCAAAATACAAATTACAAATCGGGGATAACTTAAATCAAACAAGTATAAAAATGTTAATATTTGGAAAGTGTTCTAACAGAGGACGGAAAGTGCGATACCGAGATCCGAAGACGTCTTGCGATGGCCAAAGATGCCTTCCAAAACCTAAGCAAAATATTAAGCGACAGAAAAGTTCGTTATGTGATATCTGTCGTCTGATATTGCAGTAAATGCAGAACAATCTCCTGAAAGATGAAGATACTTGGAGAAATAGAAATGTGGTACTGCAGAAAGCTCATGAGGAGAGGACATAGTGTGTTCTAATTCCACGTGGACTAAATAATGGATTCGGTTCAAAAATTAAAAAAATATATCACCTGAAAAGGCCTGAGTGTACAACAGCGTTTGTGATTATGTAGCGCCAATCCACGGTGTTCAAAGACGGATGACCTTTACCAAGACTCTCAGACTTTATTCGCTCAAAGTCTTTTTTCACCATTAATCTTAGAAAGTGATTGTATGTAACAGAGAGAAGTTGGGAAACACACACACGTATATATTTTTTTAATTAAAATTGGAGTAGATTTGAACAGCGAAATTAGATCAGAACAATTTTGTTTACTGATGGAAATCTGATCTAGACCATTTGGAATTGGGTCGTAAAAAAAGACAATGGAAATGATCGAAATAAATTTTATCGGTTAAAATTTGAAATAGAGCTTACTAAAACTATGAGGAACTTTGAAATTCACATAATTTTAGGTTGATAGCGGCACTCGTGATAATCGTGTGCGGACAAAGGGTCGATTTATGATCAACCAGGTTTATCTATATAAACGCGCACAGAAATCTGTTGAGAGGGTGGTTGGCTCGTCTGCCGTCGAAAGCAGTGGAGCTGGGTGGAAAGAAATCGGAGATTGAAAGTGACGTCAGAGATTGGAACCAAACGCCCGCTAACATATGTTGTTGATATACGTACGAAGAAGCGAATTACTCCTCCAACAATCTAAGACTGCTACTGCTATTATTATTACTACCACTGGAAACGGAAACGTCGAACAAGCTACAATAACCAAAGGTTGGTTTTTGCTCGTCTGTCTTCGAGTGCAGTCGAGCTGAGTGGAGAGATATCGGAGATTGAAAGTGAACAGAGTTAAATTGAAGGCTCGAAGAAGTACGAAAGTGATGTCAGAGATTGGAACAAAACCCCCACCAACATTTTCTGTTAATATAAATACCGATGCCTCTGCTACCACGATGATTACTACTATTGTTACTATTGCCGAGGAGGAATGCAACTATAAACTTTAAGCCGCGCAAGAAATCTTTATCTCTCCATCGCAAGAGTCGCATATCGTTCTGAGACGATTTAACTTTAAGTTAATCAACCCCCCTCTCTCTGTCTCTCTGTCTCTGTCTCTGTCTCTGTCTCTCTCTCTCTCTCTCTCTCTCTCATTCTCTCTCTAGAATCTAGTTTTTTTCTTTTGAGTTTTTCTTTTTCTTTTTACGTCAAATAATTTTCTTTTCGGTAACCCGTTTCTTTTCTATATTATTCTTCTCTGCTATATAAAACACATTAACATTTCAACCATTGAATAGTTGTTTGTCCGGCTTTCTGCAGATATATATATATGTATATATTTTCTGGTGCATTATAAATTTCTTAGAACAGACTCTCCAGCCGTCTCTACATCTTCAGTCGACCGTGAATGGACAGATATCACTTCTGCTTTCTGGATCAAACCAAACACAACGTGGACAGGAAGCAGGATTAAACCAGTGGACCGGTCGAATGATCTACGGATGCTCAGAGACTCCCTTAAGTTCAGTTAAGACCGAGTAGACACCTCAACCCAGAGAGTAAGACGTCGGAGGTTGAGGGGCTGGGGCGAAAGTGTTAGGGTATACATCTAACAGTTTCGATATTACTGAACGGGTTTTGGCGCCAAAGGTTTCTCTAATGAAAACAAATTCACGAATTTGTCGAAAGCTTTTTTCGCATGCAGAATTTGACTCAAAAGATATCCTATAGCTGACAACATGTCATCATCAACATGAAACACAAACTCTCCCTTTTCCTATAACAGAATATGCACTGATATGACTAAACTCCCTCCAAAGGTCACGGTATTAAAGAACTTGCTTTAAAGATCTAAGATCGTGTTGCGCCAATTTGATTACGTTTTAGGCCAGCTTTTTTACTTCTTTATTCACCACCCATGCATTTTTTGATAATCATTGTTTTTCTTCGTTTCATATGACCGCATAACTTGAGGAATTTACTCTTTATTAAGGAGACGATTCGAATAAGATCAGTTTTGCCCAGAGGGCTTTGTATCCCCCTGAGGTCTGTTAAGTGAGTTTTGGTCTAGAGTCGTATGATGTGATTTTGGAATGTTTCCACATTCTTAAGAAATCCAGTTTACACAACACAAACCATAATGCAGTACAAGGGGAATATATGTGTTGTGGATCTTAGCTTTGAATTTATGCAGAATCCAAGGGATTATTGGAAGGGATTCCTTTTTTTCAAGCGCTATCCAGCCAAGACCTTTTTTTATGTTGAACAGGAACTGAATCGAAGATGAAAGTTCGTCGCCAAGAAATTCACTTATTTCTTGAATTGTTTTTCCATAGACTGTTACGTTGAAAAGCTTTATCATTGATACTGTCAAAAGCTTTATTAGTAGCAACACTTTTTTAAAAAATGCCCTCCTAGTAGAACTATTTAAGAAAGATATATTTTTAAAATGTAAGGATTTTTTAAAATCCCTAGCAAGGCGACAACGACACTAAGACGCAAGGGGATACTGGGAGTGAAAAAGAAGGAAAAGACTTTAGAAGGAACCAGAAAACCAATCCTAAGCAGGGAACAAGAGATAAACCTCTACCCCTTTTTTAAAAGACTGGGGAGGAGTGTGAACCGGACGATAGGCGAATCTATCTACTCCTATTGAGAAGAAACGCAAATAAATAATTAGTAAATGTAAGTTCAGAGTTCAAGGGGATTATAGAGTTGAAGTTGACTGTAAGAAACCGGAAACTCAATCCTAAACAGAAAACAAGGGATAACCCTCTATTCCTGTTCAAAAGATCAGTTTACTGATTAACGTATATAAATTATTCGTCAGCATCGTCGCGTTAAAAAAGATCTGTATGCTCTACTTCCAGAAATACAGGCTGTATATCAACCTGGAAGAGGAGCAACCAAGCAAGATCATAGCCTTAAAGCAAATTATTGAAAAGTCCTTGGAATTCAATAAGCCCGTTTATATTGTTTTCATCGACTTGACAAAAGTTTTTGACAGCATCAAATTATCTTAGGTGTGGAAGCTCTTAACTGAGGAAACATCCATAAATGGAAAATATATCAAGCTTCTTAATATCTACGTACGATAATTCTAAGGCATCTATCAAGACTGAAACGTTCTGTAAATATTTTAAAAAGGGTGAAACTCGGTATATTCCATCGACCCGTCTCTTCTACATTGTAATCGCTTCAATTATACACAAAGCAGAATCCACTGGCAAATTAGGCTTTTCAATTGGCGGCCATATCGTTTCAAACCTCGGATATGTCGACGGTGGATATATAATTGAATAAAATGCAATTGTACTTTATTTTTTTGAAGAATAAATTTGATAAACAATGACAGAAATTATAACGAACCCTAATAGAAAAACAATAGTTTTAGAGAGACGATAGTTGTAGATATTACGTGGAAAGACACAAATAAATAAACTGTATGCAGTGGTTTTGATCCAGTTTTCCTGGTCCGATTTATTTAACTTGGAACTGAACCGAAGATGAAAGTTCGTCGCCAAGAAATTCACTTATTTGTTGAATTGTGTTACCATAGACTGTGACGTTGAAAGGAGTATTAGTTTTATATGATATTATGTGGAAAGACACAGATAGATAAACTGTATGCAAATAGCGCCGTGGTTACGATCCTGTTTTCCTGGTTCGATTTATTTAACTTGGAAAACACATAAGGTCACATCTTGTTTACGTTTGTCGACGAGAAAATCTGATGTTTATAATCTTAAAGTACGGAAGCCCAACCAGAAAGAAAATGATTAAGTTATAATTTTTAGGAAATTGGATTGAATCCAACATAATTTTATCTTTAATTTACTTATTTAAAATTTATTTTTGATGGATACTCATGGATACTCATATTCCAGTAGAAGTTATGTTTTTTTTAATTAAACAGTTTTTTTTTATCCAAATACACATCTACTGACCTGAATATTCGAAAAATCTTGTCAGAAAAATATGAGTCCTGAAAAATATGACCTGAAGATTGCATTCAAGCATGAAGCAGACTGTCACCGATCGATGTTTACCTCAGCGACCACTTCTGTAATGACATTCGCACTATCCCTGATATTGAGCACTTTTACTCGTAAATGTAGAATATATTAAGACTATATTTTTATCACATATAGAGGTGGTCCAAAAATGTACTAACATTTTCACTTCATTTTCATTCTGAATATTTATAAACATTCATTTAATTTCCTTCAGCATTTAATTTAAACCGTTAATCTTCTTTATAACTCAATAAACATTAGTATTTTTTTAATTTTTAACCATTATTCTTGTTTGCAAGTCAATAAACACTGGTTTATTGTCATAGATAGATAGATAGATAGATAGATAGATAGATAGATATGAACAGGATGAGCTATATCTATCTCATTCTGTTCATATCTATCTATCCATCTGTTTAGCTATCTTTATATGACAATAAAGCAGTGTTTATTGACTTGCAAACAAGAATAATGGTTACAAATAATAGATAGATAGATAGATAGATATGAAGAGAAACAGATAGATAGATAGATAGATAGATAGATAGATAGATAGATAGATAGATCTACAATCGTTTTCTCAAATTAACGGTTAAAAATGACTTCAAGCGAGTAAAACCTGCAGATCTGAACGAAGGCCATTCTTCTTTGAACCTTATGAAAATGACGCGAAAGAATCAGAAACAAAGAATTTTATCAAATGACAGAAGTCACTTTCAAATGAATTTTACCAAATGACAGAAGCCAATTTCAACTAAAATGAATAAAATCGAACACCGAATCACGATGAATGGATGCTCCTTCAAGGATTCCCCGTACCTTGAGCGCCTCTAGTGCCTTAAACCTAACCCATACCTCAAGTGGAACTCTTACCAAGAAGTCGAAAATTTCTAGACATGGGGTGCAATATTCGTTACAAAGGTAGTTAGGAACTGGGGCGAATGTTGACAGAAAAAAAAACAGGAACATCAAAAGTAACGAGTGCTGCTGAAAATAAAATCTGTATCATTTTAATTATTTGTTATAAAAGAAATAGAATGAAAACTGCTCCATAGTTGAGAGCTGAACTTAATTCCGCTTGACAGCAATCGGTGTCGCTCTCAACTGTGAACAACCTGCATAGTTCACCTGGACACAGGGAGAGAATAGCTATCAAGAAAACCCTGTTACAGAAGGTGGATAAACAGACGGTTATAAGCGAAAAAGCATAAGAACTGGATAGTGAGAGTGTGTTAAACTGTATTGTGGACAGACGAGTTCAAATTTGAACTTTTTGATAGAAAGAGGAGAGTTTATGTGGGAAGAAAGTCAGAGAAAGACTGAATGATGACTGCGTGGTGGGTCTGTTATGGCGTGCGGGTGTTTTGGAATCAGGAAAAAATAATATCATACGATTTTGCAAAGGCATGCTATACCATGTTATTTATACATAATAGGAAAAAATCATCTTTCAAAAAGAAAACACTCTTCTCAATTAAATCAAGATTGCCTTGAATCAAAGAAAGTAACAAAATTTTGAAAATTATGACTTGGCCGCTTCAATCTCTTGACATCTCCACTGAATTAGAATGGGATGAATTGTATAGGAGAGTTCGAAGAGAATACCCAAAAGGTGAGAGTGAGCTTTTTCAGTGCTTGAAGAATACATTTTTCAAAAACTGTTGGAAAGAATATATGATGCCTTTGTATGATTTTTTTTTATAGTTAAGTGCTTATTTTTGTCAAAATAAAAGCAAATACAATGTAGATACTGAAATTTTATATTTTACTTTTAAAAAATCAAAAAAATATCTTATTTTAAGATGCATATTTCTTAAGAAATACAGGGAAGCCACACATTTTTGCCTGTATTGTATTTTTACCATAGTCTTTCAGCTATTGATCTTAAGCGTTTCAATAGGAGGATAAAAAATAGTTCAGTAAACTATTTTTATCATCCTCATTGAACCAACAATTTTAAATATCTCAATGGAAGGTGTGTTCAGGGGGGACTGTCATTACGATCATGATTCAATTGAAGATTAGTTCAGTGGGCTATATTTAACATCCTCTTTGCACTGCTAATATGAAATGTTTCAATAGAAGTTTTGTTCAGTTGTCTATCTTTGCCAACCACTTTAAAAGGTTGATCTTAAATGTTTCAATATTAGGCTTGTTCAGTGAACTTTATTCAATATCTTTTTGAACTGTCGATCTTAAATCTTTTAAGAGAAGTTTAATGTAATGTTTTATTTTCTCTTTTGAACCGTTAGGTCGTCCAATAGAGCTATCTTTATTATCCTACTAGAATCTCGATCTTAAATGTTTCACCAGAAATTTAGTCATGTGAGCTAGCTTTATTATCCTCTTTGAACTGTCGATCTTAAATCTTTTAACAGAAGTTTACTGTACTGTTTTTATCTTCCCTTTTGAACCGTCGATGTTAGGATGTTCAGTAGAACTATCTTTATTATCCTCCTTGAACCTCGATCTTAAATGTTTCACCACAAATTTAGTGAAGTGTGCTAGCTTTATTATCGTCTTTGGACTGTCGATCTTAAATCTTTGAAAAGAAGTTTAGTGCACTGTTTTTATCTTCCGTTTTGAACCGTCGATGTTCAGTAGAGCTATCTTTATTATCCTCCTTGAACCGTCGATCGTAATTTTTTTAACAGAACCTCAGTTAAATATTCTTTACTATATATTTTATATTGGATTTCCGTACTTAGGTTATTACCTTCTGCATTTGTTTCGACTCAAAGTGATTTCTTCATTATGAATTTATGTAACTTGATTAGGAAGGAACGTTTGCTTCATAGCACTGTCGTAAACAATTATTTTGACGAATGCATTCAGAGTGAAAAGACCTTTTTTTCCGAACAGTAATTCGACCCTTTTTTTGGATGTATAACAACATCTATCTTCATATTGTTAATGTATTTAAATGAACTATCATAGTTCGAGAGAGACGAAGTTCTGCCAGTTGTAGCGTATTTTTAAAAAATTCGTTTTGAACTATATTTGCTTCCATTGGGCCATAGTTATTGCGAACCGATATTTTTTTCAAATCATTTTTGATGAACCTTTCCAGAGCACGAATATCAAAAACAAAGATGTTTATTAGATTTATTGACATTAATAAGGAGTCCATTTTGCTACGTAAATCCATTGTAAATTGATTCCCCTTCTCCATTTATGTGCCGTGTCCCTTCAGGAAGTGAACGATCGTGACACTCCACAACTTCCTTTCCTTTGTAAGTCTTGCTTTTTATTTCTACCTCTCCTGATTCATGTTCTGCTAACTTTTCAACTGTCTTTTTCTCATGTTACAGCACTTTGTCTTTGCCTACATCCTTCGTTCTTGGTATTCTCAGTATGCTTCTGTAGAACCACATTTTCGCTAGTTAAGTTCTCTTCTTCTTTTCTAATGAGATTGTCTAACATTCACTGACATGTAGTAAAACCGATATTGCATAACAATTTAGTACTCTTTTCTTTGTTTCTAGAAAGATTTTCCTGTTTCTTAATACTTTGCTTAGCTTTCGAAGGCACCTGTCGCTATCCCAATGCACCTTCGGATTTCTGTGTCACATTTTCCAACCACTGTTAAAACATTTCCTAAGCACATGACGTGATTATTAAAATTTAATTAATCGATAGTAATATAGGAAAAAAGAACATTACTAATATCATTTTATTTATTTATATATTTCAATTTATTTATTTTTACATTTAAAGATATTAAACTGAACCCTATTTTTATGGGGAGGAACGGTGGAGTAATGGATTGATACTTCGATTGAGGAATCGGAGAGCCGACGTTGAATTTCAGTCAAATCCATTACATTCACTTACGTGCTAATACCCTTAGGAAAAGTATGAATACACTTCTTCTCCCCCCAGCTATGGGTAAATAGCAGGACTGACCGGGTTCTATATCCTAGGGTGGCAACTAATCTAGGAGAAAGAAAATTCAAAACCTGTTCCACCAAATTGGTTGTGCAGTAGGCTAACAACCTACTCATTTAAAAAATGGCTTAGAAATTGCAACGATATCTTGGGGCCCTATGTTCCCCAAGGAATTTAAAGGGGTAATATATATATATATATATATATATATATAATAAATATATTTTTATCTGGACTCAGTTAAGTGATACACGTGATACTCATGTTTCCATGACTGACGAGGCAGAAGATTTTCCCGCAGTTGGTTGTCATTTCTTTCTGCGGTGAACTGGTTACGAACCAAGATTATAGATGCCAGTCTATCGTGCGATTCAAATCTTAGCGGGAGGAAAAAAATGATGGATTTATACTTTTCTCAGAAGTATTTGTGCGTAATTGAATGTGTGGCACCTTGCATTATTAGAAATATTCATAGAAATATGATTTAATTTTTTCTTACTCGGTTTACTAAACAGGTTGTTGATTTTTTTTAAAACGGAAAATAATTGAGTTGAAAATAATTCACTAAGATTGTACCTGGACGATCCTAAGGGAAGAAGAAGGAAGGGGAAAGAGAGGTCGAGAAATACAAAAAAAAACGGTCATTAACAAAAACACGAGTCAGAAAGATATCTTAGCTAGCATGTTGACCGAATTTTTTTAAAGACAATTGGAAGAATAGAATTAGAAATAATAAGAAGAAAGAAAGGGAAAAAAGACATGATATCAAAACGGGCCGCTTGATGGAAACCAGATATCGGTCAAAGCATCTAGCCTACTTTTGCGTAGAAAGACACCTTATCAATTTGGATAAAGAGAAATTTTGGGAACAATGAAACAATCTTAATCAGAGAAAAAGTGTCTTTTGGGTTGAGGGGAGTGACCGGTGGAACGGTATACAGGCTCTGACCTGTTAAAAATTAGAACCCCCACAATAATAAAGTGGAGACATTTTCAATGTAGATAATTAAGATTTTTGACTATCAGGAAAAACAAAGAGGTAAAAAGAGGGACAATTGCTTTTGGCTCACAGAGGGCGCCAAGAAGGCGGAAAAGATCCTTTCTGAAGTCAAGTCTAATTAGCGGCGGGCTGTTTGACAAAGTCCAGGTGAGAGAAGGCCAAGATGGTCATTTTTCGTACGTGCGAAAAAAAAAAAGGAAAAATTAGATTTTGTTTTTTTAGAACAAGAACGATATAAGCCCGCCCCGATTGATTGCAGGAAACGCCCAATCAGGATCTCATTAGCCGAAAACGGTCACGTGGCTGCAGAAAAGAAAAGAAAGAAATGCTCAACCAGAATCCCATTAGCCGAAAACGGTCACGTGGCTGCGGAAAAGAAAAAGAAAGAAATGCTCGATCAGAATCTCATTAGTCGAAAGCGGTCACCTGACATACGAGAGACCGAGAGAGATGGATATGCGCCTCCCCACCAAAAAGCACTATGAGGAAGTAGGGGGAAAACAATAGCGATAATGGAGAAATCAAAAATAATGCGACTTTTGGAATTATCGAGAAAAACCCCTGACGCCGACGGACCCACCCCGGTTTGTTGCGGCGTCAATAAAAGCAGGACCCCAGTCGACAGAAATCAGTTGAGTTGGAGTTGAGAGTTGCAGCTGGACCGCGGGCAGGGATAGA